CTTGCAGGGTTCTGGAAATGGGGGTCTTCCCACCCCCCACCCCCCAGGTGGTAGAAAAGGAGTGGGGATTTTTGGAGCTGCGAGACTGCAAGACCGTTCCTGCTGGCACAAGTCGGACCTTTTCCTCAGATCCCGAAGAGAGACGTTCCAGACTCCCAGCGGTTGGGGCTTCCTGGCTGTGGGCCGATGGGCGGCCACCCTCCGTCTGGCCAGCCCAGCCCAGCCCAGCGGCCGCGTTCCTGCAGCCCCGTCCCTTTCGGCTCAGCCGTGGGACCTTCTGCTTCTAAGCTAGGAGGAGTTCCTCATCCCTGTTTGGATATTTGGAAAAAATCCCCCTTTTTGCAAATTCACTTCTCAGATTTGTGGCTCGGCTGCAGAACAAAGCTCCTGGGGTCTGAAATCTCAGAAGTTGCAGATCTGGATCCCAGGAAAATGTGGAGCTTGCGCAAGGGCTCCTCCCAGACTCTCTCTGTCTCTCTCTCTCGGCCAGGGCTTCTCTGCTTTTCTTCCCGGGGGTGCCTCCTCCGTTGAGGGCAGAGGGGTGGGGAGCCGTAAGCTTTGGGGCCAAAACCGGCCTCTTGAGTTTCCTCCGAGGGCGGCTCCCTCTTTCCAGAGACACCAGGATTTGGTGGCATCCCAGCATTTATGCCTGGTGGTGTTTTTTTAAAAATCCATTTCGGAAGCTTGAAAGGGCTCTTGCTCAGGCTTGGTTTACTGGAGAGGAGCTTTCTGCTGAAGGGGGCCCTTACCCAGGAGCCGGGCCCTGCACCAAAAGGAGAAAAGGCTTTAAAAGGGGCCCAGCGAGAGATCTTCCCCGCCTGCCTTTGGGCCAAGGAAGGGATGCCCGGAAGGAGACGGGGACCCGCTCCACCAGAGGGAGGGAGGGAGGGAGGGAGGGAGGGAGACCTCCCCGTGGTGCAAACCCGGCCTGGGGCAGGAGGAGTAGTGGAGAAAATGTGAGAACCACTTTCCGCCCTGCTGAAGCAGATTTGCACGGATCCCTGCCCGCTTCACCCTTCCTCCTCCTCCAGCCTTTCCTCACCCCCAAGGAAGTGGCCTAAGCAGGGGTGAGAGCAACCTTTGAGCCCTCCCGCCGTGCAAGAGATTACCAGCCCAGGCAGGTGGGTGGGAGAGCGGGCGGTGCCCTCACGTTCCTCTCCCACCCTTGCTTTTCTCCTGCGTGTGTGGCTTTCCCTTGCACACCCACTCCCTCCCCACTTCACAGCTTAGGAAGAGACCTCAGGGATGGGACAGGGCCGGGCCGGGTCCTTCCCTTGACCCCTTCCTGGGGGTCTCCAGATGTCCCCCACGATAAGACACTCCCGCGGTGACCTTGGCGGCCACCTCCCTGCCAGGAACGGGGGATCAAGGCTGTCCGGCTGGCCTTGCCGGCGGCCCCTCCTGCAGCAGCAGCAGCAACAGCAAGCTGGCCACGGGGGAAGCCTCCTCCTGCGTCCGTCAGGGCCTCTTTGGCGGAAGGCCTTTCGTTCCGCGTGCGGATCCGCTGATTCCAACAGTGGGACTCCCTGAGCCAAAAGGGTGTACAGAATTCCTGAAGTCTAATTTCAGTAGCAAATCCTCCTTTGATATGTTCCACAGGGCCGCCTGGGGGGACATGATCCAGGGAAACCGGGGGGGGGGCGGGACGGACAGGGGAGGCAGGTTGGAAGGCCTCCCTGTTCCCCCCCCCCATCTGGCCTCTTTGCTAAGTTTCCGGTTCCTCCGGGTGTCTTGTCCTTTTGCAGGTCCAGATCTGCCGCTTCCACCGATTCCTGCTCCAGCGCAGGAAGAGCCCCTGGCTGCTCAAGGCGCCTCCGCACTGCAGGGGGCGGTCGGTGTCTGCACCCTCCAGGTAGATGGGTGTGGGGGGGTCGGCCTGGGGTG